ACCAATGGGTACCTCACAGAGGAGCCTGGAATTCACACATTGCCCCTTCACATGTCTACTACGTATAGCACTGAGAAAAGTCTATTCTATTCGCCTTCCGGTGACGTCCGTATGGATTCATTCTCAGCGTTAAATGATGGCACATCATGTGCGCCAAGCGGATATGATTTAACTTATCCATACTCCGCGTGTACTTTAGCGGTAAAATCTGGCCCGATCGCTCAGTGATTGCAGTGACCGATTGGATGATACATGTATCCCAGTTGTGGTGGTGGTGGTTGGCAAGAATCCTGTGACAATTCAGTACGATTTGGGGCACACAGTAAAATACCGCGTACAACTGTGTACAAAAATTCTACGGATCAACATGTGTGATTAGTTGTATGTTTGTGCGCCCATGTGCTTCCTCATGGGTGTAGTCTGCGAATCCCCAATAGTGACTTCGAATACCGACTGAGACAGCTGGAAAGGGGCAACATTATTAGAAAAAGATTGCAGTTTGACTATACCGTTCCTCTCCCTCGGCTCCCATTCACATGCTGTTCATTTTCCTATGGCCCGATCAGACGCGAACTGGATTCGTATGCACTCTAATGATGTACAGAAGAAGTTTTGATGTCGTATATCAGCCACGATTCTGGCATCTTTATGCATCTTTAGTCAAGATAAGATCAAGTTTCTATCATCCGCGTTTGTTTTTCGTTTTCGTCCGATTACAGGGACCAGTTTAGTCCATAATTTTCTCACCGCGGAGGGTAATACCAATTAGTTTGCTGTATAAAACCGTTTCGGATCGAGTATTACGCTATACGTGTATGGGGGTAGATAGTGGGGGTGGAGGGAGAGTATATACTGAGGAAATCTTATTAACTCGGTCACTTAAGAAGTGAAATCACTCTTAAATGGAATTTGCTGGTTGTGAATATTATAATGTTATTGACACAGCAATGTCGGTAGAGAATTATATTTGCCGACCTTTCGGTTACCGTGGCTTTTAAATATAGGAAGAAAACGTATTTAGACGCTTTAACTAGGACCCTACACCCTACAGAGCAATCTAATACACATATCTTGTTATTATGCAGTGAATTGGCTGATCGCTTGATTGTTGCAAGTGAAACAAGATTCAATCAATCAGAATAATCCTATTTGAAATAGTTCCGAATGACTTATAATCGGTACTGAGCTAATTGGGTTGATATGCACGCAACAAGCTTGCAAAAATGATACTCAATGTGTTTTATATTGCACTTTATTGAGTGTGAACGAAAGGAATGTCTGATAAGTTGCCCGTCGGATCAAGTGAATGGTGTGCTTGCATTCTGTTGGTGATATCTCTGGGATCAGATTCCCATTTGGGTTGATATATTTGCATAGTAGATGGTACTTAATCCGGTTGGAATAACGTATTAGCGATTCGCAGCGATTTATTTCGCGTTCATATGTTCTGTATGCGATTGATTTCATCTTATCTGGATCTCTGGTCTGGTTGAAATTTGAAACCCAGCATGGAAACTCTCGCTGTCAGCTGAACTACGAGGCTATTCCAACAGCACATTTCGTCCACTGAAACGGAAATTATCTTCATTTTATCAACTCTAGATATGGCTGGCGAATTAATTCTGAAACATCACAACATTAAAGAGCTTCATTCTAAACCTGCTTTCCTTAGCACTGGGCAATGATTGTCTTGTCTTTCTTATTAAAAACATCGATGGTCAAACACCCTTATGGGCATCGAAATCTTTACATCGTTCTATCAGATCAAGTGAACCATACGTCATCCGCGAAATGACAGGGATTCAAAGATAAAATTACCTCGTCCGTCGGACCTATTTTGAGCATTTATTGTAACAAGCTATAACCCGATTATGAATAAACAGCAACTTCCTTCTGCATCCGGTATTCACGTATATAGTTTGCTTTGTCATTGGATTATTTGATGACTCCAGATCGTGTTGGCTGGCTGGCCGATTGTGTGTGTGCGTTTCTGTGTGTAATACGGGCGGATAGCAAATTTGTGGTCATATAGTTTGAATGGGAAAATTATGGAAAGAATCAATGAAACGTGGGTATCAAGAAAGATGTTAATCACGAGTGAAAAAGCAGACGTGAAGGGTTGAGAGCAAAGTCGACGGATAAGAGAGTATTGATGAAGATACGAAATTCACAGAAGAATATGATGCCTGCTTATTATGACCATCATACCACTTGTATTTAAACCGTGATAAGTTGCTGCGTCATCCTAACCGTAGTGGATTTCGCAGTCGCTACGATCCTCAGTGTTGCGAGTAAAGTCGTGAATGACGTCCACGTTCAACCACTGTTATGCTTTTCGATTCAACGACAAATTCAGTAGAGCAGATAACGATAATCAGGATGTACGAGACCTATATCAGTGAAATGACTGCCACATTATCCACTGAAATTGATTAACTATTCAAATATGCCAAGCCAACCTGCTTCAAGTTAGTGCACTTTTCTGTCTTTATCCGATAATCCGAAGGCTATTCAAGGCTAATCCAAGCTTGATACTCTAAAAAGCTATTCAGATTATTTCCATACAGGTGAGCCTTAATCTTAATCTGCTAAAACGTTCCCAATGTACGGTTATTCATTCAAGTTCATCATCATCATCATCATCATCATAATCATCAGCATCGTCATCATCACCCTTCTTCCTCATCCTTATCATCATCATCAGTAGCAGCATCGTCTTCACCATTAAGCAACAGAATACAGTAAAGCGAACTTCATTGATCGCTGCCAAACTCATAGTGCAAACAAGGCCAGTGAGAAAGTGTAAGGAGGATAGCGATGGGGTCTATTTCGGGGAACAGAGAGAGAAAGCGAATCTCAACACAGAAAGCACATTCTAAACATACAAACACTACTTAAAACATTCTGGTCTAAAAGAAGCGATGAAATGTAGGCTACTGCTATCGGTTGGCTACCAAGACTTTAAGCGTCTCCAACCCAGTTACGGAGTTTTATGGACTCCAAGCCAAAAGACGAGAAACTTACTCTATTTGTATTTGTATTGTTTTAGCTTGCATAGGCTTATATGCTTACACTTCAGTAAAAAAGCACGTTAGTCTTCACGCGGGATAGCATCCAAAGTAAAAAGCGTTAATGAAGTCTGTTTCATGGACAAAAATTCTGATTTAATTCACTTGCGACCTCTTATTTTTTGGTTAGGAGTCGAGACAGATAAGGTATAGGGTAATTCTTATAAATAATACGAGAGGGCAGGTCCCGAAAAGAGGGGCATGTGGATAGGTGGGAACGACAATTTAATCGATCAGGACGCAGTGAATGAAGAGGGGCGTCTATAATCTTATTGGCAAATTTAACACCAGAGTTACTGAGACAATCATTGACATCTGTGATTAATGAATCGATTGGGATTACTGATGAACGACCAAGTATCAGCAAACCACGACGAATTGTTTCGAAGTCTTGTTTTAAAATTCCGGGAAACACTACAGGGGAGCAATAGAGTAGAATGGGTAAAACGCATTGGTGAACAAAAAGGAACAGGACTGATTGCGAGGTTTGGAGAGGCCTCTCAGATTTCCCATACAACTGTAAATGTGCGAATCCATCGACCCAAATGGGGATCGAACCCGGGACTTTATGGGCAGAACACAAGCATGCTACTCACTCGGCCACCTGGCAGGTGATCAGACCCTTTTTCATTTTTTATTTACACGATATAGCACAACCCATCTTTGCGAGCTTGTTGCGGGCGACAGACCCCGCTCATCTCAGTACTAGCCTCCAGGGTTACGACTCGATTGGAAACTTTTACAACCTGACTACTGATTTCAAGTGAGTAATGGAGGATTCGATTCGTTTGCAATCTACACGGCGAAACCACCTTTAAAAATGAATCATATCCTCCAATGCTCACTTGAACTGTAAATGTGTGTGGTCCACCGAAGATTACTGTCGATGGTGACACCCAGGTACTTGACTGAGGTCACTCTGGACACAGGTTTACAGTTGAGGGTAGCAGAGTTGGTTGGGACTGAAGAGTGGGAGGAACTGAAATCACACTCCAGGCACCTGAATGTGTCTAGACTGAGACCAGAGTGGTTGGAAAACTGTTGGATTTGGGACATATTTTTATTGAAAGAGTCGAACTCCAAAGGAGAGGAAACTGTCTAACCCAATCGAAGTCGTCAGCATACTTTTGGATGTGTGCAGCGGGTGGGACCGAAAGATCACTTATAAAAGCGAAAAAAAGATACGGAGATAGAATAGCACCTTGAAGAACAACAGAACTATTGAGAAGCGGTTTTGATATCCTCCTCATTTTTGTGCACTGGACCCTCCATGGAAAATAGTCAGAAAGCCATGACCATCTGTTTCGGAGTGTCCAAAGATTCAAGTTTGAAAAGAAGGGATGACCGAGAATCAGAATCAAATGCGAACCGGTAATCAAGAAAAACACAACGGACAGGCTTGGTCGAGTTGTTCAATCACTTACTGATAAAATGGATCAGGACTAATACGGCGTTCAGTGTAGATCTGTTAGATTTGTATGCAAACTGGAGGGATCGTGGTAATTGACTGCAAGCGACTCATGATGGACTTTTCAATCAACTTTAGAGCTACAACGGTCAGGGCGATAGGACGAAACCGTTTTGGAAGAAAAGCTGTGAACAAGGATTTGGATACTGGAATAACGGTAACTTGACGCCAGGAACCAGGAATTGACGGCGAAGACAGGGATCTATTAACGAGGGATGTCATCACATTGCCCAGAGAAACTGCTCCAAATTTGACAAGTGCCGGAGGAAGATCATCAGGACCTGCAGATGAGGATGCTTTGAGGGATCTGAGAACCTTAAAGATTTCATCACTAGAGAAAGACACGAAATTGGATTCATTGCACAGGATGGGGGGAATCTGGCTCAAGTTTGACTGGTGGATGAAAGCGACGTTAAGGCTGTCGATGTCCACTGAGGTATTCGAGTGTTTTCTGTTCTGACCATAAAGAAGGCGAATACCTTGGCATAAATGCCTGGCCTTCTTTGTTCGCAGAATTTGGGTGACGAAGGTTGCTTTCAGATGCACTATCTCAGACTTGATTAAGTCAGAATGATCCTTTACGACTGATGCATGGTGAAATTTATAAGCCCTTTCTTTGTGCCTTCATAGTGAGTTGAAATAGGGTGAGGTAATTCAACGGTCACAGACAAACTGGGTTTTCATAAGGCAAAACAAGTTAAAGATCAATTTAATCGTTTCAATGAACAGACTGATACATTTAAAGATTGATGAAAAAAATCAAACCAAGACTGAACAATCGCAACGGATCCGTTGAGAAGAGAGATGCGGCTTAGTGGAAAGTCCCTCAGATATAACTCTATCTGATTAGAAGATATGGATGTTTGATAAGCAGTGCGAGAGCATATCTTTGGTCTGACAAGAATAATACAGTGGTCAATGGTAGAAACTATGGCCATGAGTTTAAGAGAGAATAAGTTGGGATGGTTTGTGAATACTGTGTCTAGCACAGAACTACTTCCGGCAGGAGAAGGACAGAGATTAGATAGACCAAACGGAAGCAAGGGAAATTTATGCATGATTGAAATCACCAACAAGTAAATGAAGATTTTCCTCTAGTAATGGAACTAGAAATAAGATATAGGAATCAATAAAAGCAGAGATTTTATCTGAGAACACGAAGGAGATATATACACCTTAGTAATTATTGTAGGTGTGTCAACAGGCGTGTCTTGCGCGTACAATGCAGTCTCTAGAAATCGATGTCTGCTGCGTATCGGAGGCACGAATTCAGGATCCTAGTATTATAAGCCACCTGAGTGCACCGGGTCTGTCCTCGAATTATTTCCTTCGCAGCCCGCTCACTGGGTCAGCGTGGTGTAGGTATCGTACTAAACGATANGTCAATAGTCGTCTGTGCGCAATGAGGCTACAGGGATCAGTTAGTGTTCGGAAGGGTAGCAACACCAAAAGGTGTTTGTTCATAATTTCCGCGTATGCACCAACCAACTGCAGTTTCGCTTCACAAAAAGATGAATTTTACGGCAAACTCGCCGAACTGATTCGGTTGAGCCGCAACTCTGATATTATAGTGCTGGCAGGTG